GGTGGAGGTAAACATTTCATGACTCATTCCTCCAAAACACCCCAAAGTGCTCAATAATAATTGGTTCTGGTGACTGTGCAGGCCATGAGAAATGTCCAACTTTACTTAAAAAATGCAATGGTTTGTTTTTGACAAAAGTCATTTGTTTCCCATTTTAAACTGGTCTAAAAAGGTTGGAATTTATCAAAGATAATTTAAAAATAGTGTGTTTTAGAAAAAGAAACCAAAGTGGGTTAAAAACACATCACTGAAAAATATTTAAAGCCAAAATATTTCTAAACAGCTGTTTAAAACACACACACACACACACACACACACACACACACACACACACACACACACCCAACATATACTTACTTTTCCGTGTTGTCAAATGAATAATCACATTCAAAAGGAAGGTTTGTATTTACTCAATGTTTGTGTACTGACTGTGTATACATATTGCACATATATATTCTCCAAAACTGTGCTCAATAATATTTAGATCTGGTGCCTGTGCAGGCCATAGGAGATGTTCAGCTTTACTTTTAAAGAAAACAATGGCTTGCTTTTGAAAAAAGTCATTTGTTTCTCATTTTAAATTGGTCTAAAATGGTTGGAATATTAGAAGGTAATGTGAAAAAATGTTTGTTTTTAGAAAAGAAACCAACGTAGGTTAAAAAGCATCAATGAAGTGGTTCTATTCCTTTTTGATTTCGAGCCATTATAGAACAGTGTTCAGATCACTACGTGATGCAGGTGGAGGATAACCTTGCTTGACTCGCTCCTCCACAACAGCCCGAAGTGCTCAATAAAGTTTAGATCGGGTGACTGTGCAGGCTGTGAGATGTTCAACTCGACTTTCATGTTCATTAAACCATTGTGTCTCCAGTCTTGCTGTGTGTATTGGTGCATTACCATCCTGATACACGCCACTTCCTTCAGGATACAATCTTTGACCCATTGGGTCATATGATCGGCCAAAATGGCTGGATCATCCTTGGCAGTGAAGCGCCCATCTAGCACAAGAATTTGGGCCAAGGGGATTCCCATGATGTTGCAGGAAATCCATTACTGATCCACCCTAATGCTTCACTCTGGGCATCAGCAGTCTGGGTGGGACGCTTCTTTAAGGCTTCTCCACACCGTAACTCTCCCAGATGAGGGAAAGACAGTGAAGGTGGACTCATCAGAGAACAACACATGTTTCTTTGTCCACCGTCCAAGGTTTTTACCGCTGGCACCACTGAAACTAACGTTTAGGATTTGCACGAGTATCGTATTGCCGTCAGATATTCCAGTATGGTGGGGACACTACTTTCCAGACCTTCTTGCACATGAGAACAGCTGCATGATGATTCAGTGAATGCTTACATGTGCAATTCAGACAGGTTTTACAGGGTTAAAGTCCACATGAACTGGAAGCTGCGACCATTTTTTTCATATTGTGATGCAGTTTCACAATACTAAATGTGAAAGCAGTGGGCGTGGCTTGTTTGATTCTACTGTGAGCTGATTGGATGCAGTAAAGTAGGCGTGTCATTCAGAAAGATGCGGAAAAGTGTTTGGAGAGAGTCCTCCAGCTCACCATTTCTGTTTGATGTCATACTGACAGCTGGAGGGGCGTGGTTAAGTGTGTTAGCCCCGCCCACTATCTCAGACTGACCTGAGAATTGAACTGACCTCAAACAGGAAGTGCATTTGCAGATTTCAATATTCGATTACAGAGGCAAACTATTGTTTTGTTCTTAATGACATGCACAGATGAACTGTTCAGCGCAGGACTAGCAATGTGAGCTCACAACATCACTATGGCTAGTTTTGATTTCACACGTGCTTTGATATGAGCTTTCTGCGCGCTGCTTTACCTTCAGCACCTCCATGGGCACCTGTGCGGCGCTGGGCGGGCCGCAGGGATGGCTGACGTTGATGGCGGGGCTGTGTGTGATGGAGATCTGCCGCTTCTGCTGCTCTCGGCGCTCCTGCTGCTGGAGCTGCTCACGCATCAGCTGCTGGCGGAGCAGGACTCGAGACGAGCCCAGCGGGGGCTTACAGGAGCCATGCTGCTGCTCTGAGGGATTACTGCACACACACACAAACACAGAGGACGTTACATACAGTTGAAGTCTCAATTATTAGCCCCTCTGTATATATTTCTCCCAATTTCTGTTTAACTGAGAGCAGATTTATTCAGCACATTTCTAATCATAACAGTGTTAATAACTTATCTCTAATAGCTGATGTGTTTTCTCTTCATCATGATGACAGCACATAATATTAGACTAGATGTTCTTCAAGACACTAGTGTTCAGCTTACAGTGACATGTAAAGGCTTCACTAGGGTAATTAGGGTAAAGTTAGGGTAATTAGGCAAGTCATTGTATAACAGTGGTTTGTTCTGGAGACAATCCAACACTAATATTGCTGAAGGGGTGAATAATATTGACCCTAACATGGGTTTTCAAAAAAAAAAAATCACTATATTACAATTCTATTAGCTGAGATAATGAGAGAAAAACTCCAGGATAGTGTAATCAAGACTTTCAGAAAGAGGAAAACAATAGTGTTAGACTGATAAGGTACAACCAGTCAGATTTACTGTCCTGCCCCCATACACACACTGCACGATTCTAAGGGCTCACACATTTTGGGGGACCCCAGAGACATTATAAAGAACCCATGGCCCAGTATATATGTCTATCTGTATATATACATGCAAAAACCCAGAGGAGAATATATATATATATATATAAATCTGGTATTGTACAAAAAACATGAAACAACATTATATATATCTAATTCAAACAACCATTATTGTCTGTTGCACACACACATACTGATTTATTCCCCAAATACTATTAAAGGCTACTTAATCTTTAACCTGATGGTAAAAGGCGGATTCTACCTTAATTCTTAATGCTATTAAACCTTGAGAGAGAGAGAGAGAGAGAGAGAGAGGTGAACGTGGGGCTCTGCAAAGGGACAGTGTTTGGTACACTAGGCACTGGTTAATTGAATTATCTTGAGATCCTGGTAGTGGTTAATTAGGAAGCTTAATAATGTGTTACAGGCTGCTTTGTAGTCAGTAAAGTCTAGAAGGGATACAGCTGCAAACACGCACATCAATAAAGCATCGTTTTCGTGACACCGTGCAACAATAATTCATATTTTAACATTACTGTGAGGGTTATGGTAGGGGGGAAGCATTAATAAATAACAATTTAAAGGATAACTTAATAAATAATATGAATAATATTCACTGTATTATCACTGTGAGGGTTGGATTTAGAGTTGGGGTAGATGTTAAAAAAATACAATTTAATGGGTAAATTAATAAATAATGATTCATTCTCATTCTAATTACTGTTTTTACATTGCTGAATGGTTGAAGTGGGGGTAAATGTTAATAAAATACAATTAGTGGGTCATTTAATAGGTAATATAAAGAATTCTCAATGATATTGACTGTTTTTACATTACGGTTGTGTTTGGGGTTGGGGTAGATTTCAATAAAATACAATTTATGGATAATTGAATAATTAATATAAGTAGTTCTCATTAACGTGTGGCCACAGCTCTAGCCCTTCGAGCGTATATTTGTGTTTATAGAGGAAAATGCAGGTAGGAGCTGAGACAAGCAAAGGAAATGGAACTAGTAAATGACACAAGAAGGATTCAGGTTTTTACCATAGGTCAAGAGACTAAGCAATAAACATTAGGGCTGCATGATATTGGAAAAATCTGATATTGTGATATTTAATTCCTCTGCAACACCCATAACACACCCATAACTCAAGATATTAAAGACAGCTCTTTCAGACCATGCGCCGGATCCTGTCCTTAAAATCACGAAAGTGGAATCAGCCAAAGTGCACCTGCCTGCACCGTGTGCTTTAGACCGTGTGTTCGATCATTAAAATAGAGCCTAAAGAGGTCAAAAGTCCATAATCTCACACAGTGTCTATTCTTATAGACAGAATATTACATAGTATGAACCCAGCATGACACTATCTTTGTTAATCCGCTGTGAATATTTGGTATGCGTGGTGTAATCACAAAACTGGGCCAAAATCTCCTGATGCTGATGCAAAGTGACGAATCATGAAGCAAATCTCACCCTCATATACCTCAAATCTCTCTCTCTATTCCAAGAAAAA